TTTAGGGTTTAGGGTTTATAGGCTGTGGGTTGTGGAGTTGTGGCGCCTGAATACTACTAATCCCAGAGGGTCCAAGTACCCAAAATAGTAGGGATTTAGGTCCCAAATTCCATATTCTGAATGGTTTTTGGTACCTGAAACCCTACTATTTGAGTACTTGGGCCCTTAGGGAATAGCAATATTATCGTAATCATAACCGAACCCCAACCAAGGCCCAGCGTCAGTAAATACTGAGGCTTTTGTAATGGAGCTCCTCTTAGGGTGTCAAGGGCTAACCCTGAACCAAGCCTAAACACTACACCTTAGGTTTCGGGTCGATGGGTTTGGGGTTTAGGGTTTGGGGTTTAGGGGTGGCCATGTGGGTACCGATTCCGCGAAAGTCTAAACAGGAACCCTTGTACGTAATGAGGTTAATTAGGATTTTGGGTTCTCCATCACGCCCGACAGCTTCATGAATATTTAGAAGCCACTAGATTGTCGTTAGATTCAGAGCCCTATAGAAACCCTACAAAGAACCCCACAAGAAGCCTATAAGAATCGCCAGCATTCCCTGATATTCCCTGGATGCCTTAGTGAGCCACCGTGTAGTTAGGGCAGACTTCACCCAAAACCCTACTCTTGTCGTTAAGGCCTTTGTTCATAGTCTTCGTTGTGTTTGTTGTTGTTGTTGTTGCCTACTGTGTGCTTTGTTGTGGGCTCCTATATGTCGTACTAGCTGACCTGAGACAGGGTGCGGTCCATTTCTTAATTTAGGATAGAGGAGTGTTCCTGCTAGGAACTCTAATCCCTGGACCCCATAGAAACTTTCTATAGCAAGCTCATAAGAATTCCGTAATCACGAGACTGTGCAGAAAAGGGAGAAACCTACAATGCTTCCTGAACCACCCTAAACCCTTAAACCAAAGCTCTAGCCCAAAATGTCAAATTCCGAGCCCCATACCAGGACAATCAGGCCGCATGTGCCTGGATCCACTTTGACACCTCCGACAGCGCCTTGACGGCGGCGAAAAGCCGGAGGCACGTGGAGCTTTATGAAGAAAGGTTTACATTCTCAGGGTTCCTTTAAGGGATCTGTACGGGTTCGTTTAAGGGATCTATTATTCTATACGGGTTCCTCCAAAAGTCCAGAGGAACTGATAATTAGGTACTGGGGTTTAGGATTGTTGATTTGCCGGGTAGTGATTTGGAAGGGTAACGTGATTACTAGCTACCTGCACCCTTTAAGGTATGGTTTATGTCGGGGTTTAACATGGAGAGAACACTGATGCTACTTCACAAAGATTTTTTCATCAGAATTCACACTGGTGTTGTGCTTCAGTCTTATGGCTCCATGGGGTTTGGGATGTAGAGTCTGAAGGAGCTGAACACCTCTCGGATAAGGCATGTTCCTTGTAACTACACTTCAATAAGAGTTCCTTGTAACTACACTTCAGTATGAGATGATGCATCCTGCTGTAATGTAGAACCACACCACATAGTAGAACATGATGTAGTATAGGACATATGCAATACATGCATACAGCTGGCCTCTCAATTCCAATCAAACCCTAAACCCTAAAGCCTAAGCCCATAAACCCTAATCCCCGTAAACCCCTCAACCCTAAACACTAAAACACCTTAAAACCCTAAACACCGATAGAGCAGGTATGTTCGATCCCAGGTTCTCTTGAACCCGGATACCGAAAGCCTAGGGATTAGCGTTTAGGGTTTATGGGAACCCTAATGTTAAGACTGGTGTTTAGGATATGTTTTTCTCTAATGACATGGGTTTAGGGAATTTAGGACTGCTTTAAGGGGTAGTCTCGGAACCTGGTGAAGAAACCTTGTGTCTTTATTAGTGAGGGTTCTTGTATGAATCCGAAACTTTTGGTGTTTTCGGGATATTAAGGGGCCAGAGTTTCTAGAATCGGGCTCCCACGTTAGAACCTGGACACCCAAACGCAAAACCCTAGACTTGAAATGCGCGCAGAAATACCAGCTGGGTGGTGGGGCAGAAGGCCGTGCTGCAGTGATAGTTTGGGGGGGTTCGGGTCATGGGGTTTAAGGCTTTGAGCTTTGGACCTGCGCTGTTTAAGATGTGATTTAGAGCTTCAAATCTTCCAGCGGGTTGTTTTCACAAGCTTGCTCTCTCTCTATATGTATATACATATAGCAGAGCTCTATATACATATATACATATATATACACATACATGCATACATACATGCACACAGACGTACACACGGACGACATACTCAGACATACACACAGACATGCACAAATATGCACTCTGATGTTCTGTAGATTTGTCGATTTAGAGCATACCTAAAGCAGTATATAGTTCTTCTCATGAACGCCTGCCCTAGTTGCCCATCGTGTTTAGGGGGTAGGGTTCAGTAGTATTTTCGGGGTAGTATAATCACCTTGGATACTGGACAAGTAAGTCTTAAGCTTGACGCACCTGGATTCTGGAAGAATGGATGCCCATCCCGAAAAATCCTGTCGTGACAAAACCGTTGCCAGACCCCGGAACGACCCCCTTGTTGCAATCGTAAAATTCACGTACAATACTAACTCTATATCAGAGAAGCACATAGACGCCTCATAACTTGATCAGAAACCATGTAAGACCTCCTGCTAAGAGTTGATAAAGCATGCTCGTGCACGCGTTTGCAACCCTGGGCCCTGACCCCCAAACCGTCAAACCCGAACCATACCCCCTAACCCCATGCTCTAAGCCTAAGCCCCTACAGTGACCCTAAACCCTGAACTCTAAACCCTAAACCCAAAACCCTAAATAAACCCAAAACCCTAAATAAACTCAAAACCCCTAAACCCTTACTAAACCCCAAACCCTAAATAAACCCTAAACCCCAAACCCTAAACGCTTATTCAACCCCAAACCCCAGATAAACCCTAAACCCAGAACCCTAAACCCAAAACCCTAAACCCTTAATAAATCCAAAACCCTAAATAAACTCAAAACCCAAAACCCTAAACCCTTAATAAACCCAAAACCCTAAATAAACCCTAAACCCCAAACCCAAAACCCTTATTAAACCCCAAACCCTAAGCCCTAAACCCAAAGCCCTTATTAAACCCCAAAACCCTAAGCCCTAAATAAACCCCAAACCCTCAATAAACCTAAATCCCAAAAAAATAAATCCAAAACCCTATAAACCCTTAATAAACCCAAAACCCTAGATCAACCCTAAAACCAAAACCCTAAACCCTAAATATACCCAAAACCCAAACCCTAAACCCTTATTAAACCCAACACCCCAAATAAACCCTAAACCCAAAACCTTAAACCCTTAATACACCCGAAACCCTACACCCTAAGCCCTAAATAAACCCAAAACCCTTAATAAACCCAAAACCCTAAAACCCTGCGTAGGTCGACCTAGAAGTTCGCCGCCCTGATCAGTTGGGAGATGTGATGCAACGGCGAGGCGCCATAGCATTCTCGGGTTTAGGGTTTAGGGCTTCGGGTTTAGGGTTTAGGGTTTACGGTTAGGGTTTAGGTTT